TCTCTTGGTGACGGGAGAACAGCTGGCTCTGGATGAAATCAACAAGCTGGGCAAACCTCGCTTTGGAATGCTTTGGAATTATATATATGTATATATATATGTGTTTATGTGTGTGTGCACATACGCATACGTATACGCTATATATATATACATATGTATGTACTTGGTTTATGTACACACATTTCATCACCCAGAACATGGGAATCGATTAGCATTGGAACCACATGATAGTCACATGTTTGGGGTCCGGATCTGGGTTTTGAAGAGAGTTTTACTGTATCACTATCAATTGTTAGGAATTTGTCTATCTGGGAGGTACCCTTACCCAAGATTCCCATGATTAAAAATTGGCTTCAGTGAATTGATCAGCGGGGCGTCAGCATGCGTCAGCCCTCGAAACATGCTCTGTTGATTACAACAATACCCCCTAAAGATCGGACTGCGAGAAGATCCAATGATTTCTACCAAGTTTCTGGAGGTGTTGGGGTCAAGAGATGAAAATTACGCAGCACGGCCAGAAATTCAATGCTTACATCATCGAAGGAAGTTTAGAAGTGAAACTTCCGACAGTATGGAGAGATGAAAATGCAGAGGTGGGAAGAGTCAGCGAAGAGAAGAGAAGAAGCAAGAAGATCAGAGAAGAGAAAGAGTCAGAAGATAAGATGCAGGTGCGAAAAGGTAGGAAAGTCGCGAAACACTGTGTTTTTCCAATGATTTGAGGCTCCGGAGGGTCGAAAAGTAGGCTCGCTAAAGCGGCGGCTGCGGAGCCAGCTGGCCAGATGAGAGATGAAAAATTGCACGCCGCTGTGGCGCGAAGCACATTTCTAAGTCAAAATGTACAAAACACCTCAGCTCCGGACAACTTTTGGAAGTTGAGATGTCAAAAAAGTGCATGCCGTTGTGGCGCGAAGCACATTTGCAAGTGAAAAAGCTAAAAACACGTCACGTTCGGACCACTTTTGGAAGTTGAGATGTCGAAAAAGTGCACGCCGTTGTGGCGCGAAGCACATTTCCAAGTCAAAATGTTAAAGCCACCACATGCTCGGACCACATTTGAAGGTTCAGATGTGGTTTTGCGTGACAGGCGCAAGGGATTCTGCACTTTGCCAAAAGTGAGCACAACGTGAGGGTTTTGTAGCATGTCCAAAAACGATGGCAGGTGTGGGACATTTGAAGAGGATCTGGAAAGATGCATATTGCGTGCCAGGCGCAGTACAAAAGACATGTTCATCAGAGATGTTAGGAGGTCAGGGCGCTGATTTCCTGAAAGGGGCCGCATTTTGGAGCCTCAGATCACTCAGATCTTCAGGTTTGCTAGGATGATTTTGCGTGACAGGTGCAACACTTCCTATGACCTGGCATCACTTTTTCGTGGCAGGCGTTGCGCTTTAGACAGATGGAATGGAAAAATCGCAAAACGCTATGGTACGAGGCCGTCAGTTCTGCACTCAGCTTTCCATTTTTGAAGGAAGTCTTGCAGAATTGCTTCGTTCTTTACGTTGTCAACTTGAAGAATTGAGGAAGTCTCGCAGAATAGCTTCGTTTTCAAACTTGCAGATAGATAGATAGATAGATAGATAGATAGATAGATAGATAGATAGATACGCAGATGGATAAACAGAAAAACAAATAGATAAACATATATATATATATATAGATAGACAATTGCAACTGCACTACACCACATGACAACTACAACTTCAACTACAACTACACTTCAACTACAAGAACTACAGCTACAACCACAACTACAACTTCAACTACACTTCAACTTCAACTGCAAGTACTACAACTACAACTACAATTACAAGTGCCACTGCAACTACAACTGCAGCAACTACTACAACTACGCTACAACTGCAACTGCAGCTAGGACTGCAACTGCAAATACAGCTGCAACTACAACTACCACTAGAACTAGAACTAGAAGTACAACTACAACTACAACTATAACTACACTTCAACTACAACTACAGTTTCGACTACAACTACAACTCCTACAACTATTGCAACTACTACAATTACTACAACTAAGACAATTACAACTTCAACTGCATTTCAACTACACTACCACTACAACTTCAACTACAAGCACAACTACAACATGACAACTTCAACAACATGAACCCCGCTGCAACTACAACTACAACTACAACTACAACTACAACTGCAACAACTGCACTACACCACACTACACCCAGGAGTTGTGAGTGAGGTGACCACTGCAACCATTGCAACCACTCCAAAAGCACAACTCCAACCACCTTTCGGTCCATCAGTGGATTCGCTCTGCCATCCATGCATCACAACAACTGACCTCTCCTACAGTGTCCTATACTTGAAACTTCCGCCACCGCCTTGTGTGGTACTAATGGTAGCGTTTACATTGAGGATCACCCCCAACAGAACCCAAAAGAAACATCAGGTAGGCTGTTTGAGAAAAGGTTGATTTGGGGTTCAGTAAGGGCTACCTACCAGTGATCTAACTTAGGGTATGATATGTGATTGGCCCATGACAGATGTTACTAGTCCCTTTGCTGTATGAATTTGCTGCAGTCATGACTCGTAACTCAGGCAGGAAGACAAATTCATCGCTTCCCCCCGATATCCAGAAACCAAGGTGGATTTGGGGAAGTTACACATATTTGTGACCAATATAAAAGGCGTGTTTGATATTCGGGGGACCAATCCTATCCCATCCCTGAAGATCAGAGATCCATATTGTTTCGGAAAAGAAACGCAGGAGCTTCTAGCCTTGGAGCTTCTAAATGCTGAAAAATCTGGGGTTGACACTGTTGACTACTCTATGTTCTTTCGAGAATTGTTGATGTACTGTCAGAAAGCATGAAGTCTCACTGACCGACCACCCCAAAATGGTGTCATTTCGGCTTGTGAAGCTACGATGACCCCCAACCTTGAATAGGTAGATTAATCATTGAGTATTGTTTTGCCATAAATGGACAATAATCATTACTAGCAAAAGATTTCTTTGAACTACTCTTGCTATCTATCTATCGATCTATCTACCTATCTAATCTATCTAATCCGTGTCTCTGGCATCAGTCCTTTTTCACTTCGAGCTTCGCTGCACCCATGGCTGTTCCAGATGAGGGACATTGGTCGCTTGTGACCCTAATCACTGTTTCTACGTTTTGAAGTAAAAAAGATAGGGTCACAAGTGACCAGGTGTGCTCGAAGTCCCACACCTGCCACACGAAAATGGTGCGGCCCCTTTGTGGTCGCCTGTGACCCTATTCGTGCCCGAAGCATGATTTTTGGAGGAAGTCTCGCAGAAAAGCTTTGTTTTTGAGTTTCGTAGCTTCATTTTTGAAGGAAGTCTCGCAGAAAAGCTTCGTTTTTGAGTTTCGCAGCTTCATTTTTGAAGGAAGTCTCGCAGAAAAGCTTCGTTGTAGAGCTTCGAAGCATCATTTTTGAAGGAAGTCTCGCAGAAAAGCGTCGTTTTAGACCTTCGAAGCTTCATTTTTGAAGGAAGTCTTGCAGAAAAGCTTCGTTTTAGAGCTTCGAAGATTCATTTTTGGAGGAAGTCTCGCAGAAAAGCTTCGTTTAAGGGCTTCGAAGCTTCATTTTTGAAGGAAGTCTCGCAGAAAAGCTTCGTTTAAGGGCTTCGAAGCTAGGTTTTTGAGTTTGGAAGCTTCAGTTTTGAAGGAAGTCTCGTAGAAAAGCTTCGTTTTAGAGCTTCGAAGCTTTATTTTTGAAGGAAGTCTCGCAGAAAAGTTTTTGTGTTTGAGTTTCGAAGCTTCATTTTTGTAGGAAGTCTCGCAGAAAAGCTTCGTTTAAGGGCTTCGAAGCTACATGTCATTTATTTATTTATCTATCTATCTATCTATCTATCTATGTATCTATCTATCTATCTATCTACCTATCTAATTATCTACCTATCTAATTATCTATCTATCTATCTATCTATCTATCTATATATCTATCTATCTATCTATCTATCTATCTATCTCTATCTATCTATCTCTCTATCTATCTTGTTATCTTATCTTATCTCATCTCATCTCATCTCATCTTATCTTATCTTATCTATCTATCTATCTATCTATCCATCTATCTATCTATCTATCTATCTATCTATCTATCTCTATCTATCTATATCTCTCTATCTATCTTGTTATCTTATCTTATCTCATCTCATCTCATCTTATCTTATCTTATCTTATCTATCTATCTATCTATCTATCCATCTATCTATCTATCTATCTCTATCTATCTATATCTCTCTATCTATCTTGTTATCTTATCTTATCTCATCTTATCTTATCTTATCTCATGTTATCTTATCTTATCTTATCTTAACTTATTTTATCTTATCTATCTATCTATCTATCTCTCTATCTCTCTATCTCTCTATCTCTCTATCTCTCTATCTCTCTCTATCTCTCTATCTCTCTCGCTCTCCCTTTCTATCTTGTTATCGCTGTATCTCTTTACCTCAACTTCTAAAAACGGTCCGAACATGGTGTGTTTTGTACATGTTGACTCTCTCTCTCTCTCTCTCTTTCTATCTCTTTATCTCTCTATCTCTCCATCTCAACTGCTAAAGGCGGTCCGAACATGTTGGTTTTTGTGCATGTTGACTTCGAAACGGACGTCACGCCACAACGGCGTGCAATTTTGTATTTCTCATCTGGGCAGCTGGCTCCGCGCCCGCCGCTGTAGCGAGCTTACTTGTCGACCCTCCGGAGCCACAAGGCATTGGAAAACACTACCTTTTGGCTCCTCTGCATCTTCTTTCTTCTGACTCGTTCTCTTCTCTGATCTGCTCTCTTCTACTCTTCTCTTCTCTCTGCCTCTTCCCATCTCTGCTTTTCATCTGCCCATATTGTCGGAAGTTTGATTTCGAAACTTCCTTCGATAATGCAAAATATATTCACAAAGAAAGTTATACACAGACAAACTCGCGGCCAGACAATGATACAGAAAGTTGCGGCCAACCTTAGCAATCCATGCGTCGGTGATGCACTGAATTTCACCAC